AAGATATACATTACGGGAATTGTACTCTAAAGGAATCATAAAACTTTTTCTTCAAATAATGCAATGGAAATCATTTTCGTAGCAAACCCGAAAAAACTTGCCCTGAAAACTCTTAAGAAGACGGAAAAGCAATGGTAGTACTTAATTCGTTCCTCTGCCATATAGTTTCGCACTCCTCTGATCTCATTCATCTACAATTTACTCGTATTCAATTGTTTATAGGAAGACGAAGATCCCATATACACATTAAACCCCAAATGCAATAATACTGCTAAGTCAGCAGTGTCAACATTTTGGAGTGGATTTCAATGCGCATTTGCTACAACAATGGCCGCGTATCGATGCAATCAAAGGTGCAACAACAACAACTGCATTTAAACTCGGGCCAATGAAAACCCTTCCAGGGAAAAAGCAATGCTGTCAAGGGCTTTGAATAGCAAGCCTAGAAGGAGCTTTCACGGCGTGGAGAAAGAAGATAGCTGCCGATCAGCAGCGTCCATACTCTCCGAGTATGGAGGCTTCATGGTGGGGTTCATGGATGACCTCCCACTGATCTCTTGTGGTGGTAGTGATCATAAGGGCGGTTGGGCCGAGTCGCAGCATTTGACCCTTCGGCAGGTGCTCAGATCATCGGTGGCAGTGGTGGGCGAGAGCCGTTTGGGGTTTACGGAGAAAGTGGTGCTGCCGGATGGTAGGATGTGTGCACTGAAGAGGTTTCGGAAGGTTAGTTTGAGGAGGGGCGAGTTTGGGAGGAGAATCGTGCGGGTGGGTTTAGCGAGCAGCATGTCCGACTATCTTGTTCCTGTCACTGCTTATTTCTATAGTAAGAGGATCAAGTTCGCTGTCTCTGATTATTATCCCATGGGAAGCCTTGCTGATTTGCTGGCCAGTAAGTTTTACGAATCAGAGATATGACGCCAGTACAAATTACTGATGAATAACCAACCTAACCGGCTTCTTGTCTTCCTGTAATCCCTTAATATTAAAAAGATCAGTGCGTATTGTCCTACAGTACTGTGAATTAGAAGGAAACGTAATTACTTGAATAATTTATCTTTCTTAGCTTGGAATTCAATTCGTTTCGGATTTCTATATAAACAAGGATTTTTCTAATAGGTGCTTTCAATCAATCTTTCTATTCAACAAATAAATAGCAATTCCATTGATTATCAATATGTATGGTCTTAAATCTTTCTATTCTTTAGAGTTGCTTACTTCAATTATGTCAATATCAATAACTACTGTTCTTATCTATGGTGATAATTATATGGCTCGTGATCAAGCACATTCGAGTTTTTTTTTTTGCTTATATGGGTCTTTTCAGTACTTCCATGTTAGAATTAGTTACTAATTCGAATTTGATACAAATTTATATTTTTTTTTTTTGAGAATTAGTTGGAATGTGTTCTTATTTATGACTAATAAATAGGGATTTGGTTTGTGCCTGGTGTTCGTAGTTAGCATATAGCTTAGAGTACAGTTAGAATACACTTAACATGTATTTTGTAGAATCTTATATATCATCCCTACATAGCAACAAATTGAGACGCCGCATTCTTGTCATTATTTTTTTTCAAACATTAAGAGCGATACCCATGCGAGGCTTAAAATGTTTTCCTTTGGATATGCAAGATTAATTGGCATTATATTTATGCACTTCAAATGGTACTTTCTACCTATTGTTCTAAATTAATTACTTCTTTTTTTCTAAAAATAAAATAAAATTCCTCTCCATTGTGAAGGTGCAAGGGAGCAGAATCAAACAGCTCTAACTTGGAATCAACGACTTGAAATAATTCTGAGCGTTGCACGAGCAGTTGAATTTATCCACTCAAGAAATTCCTTGCAAGAGACGAAGCACTTGAAGTTGAATGTGCACGGGAACGTCAAAGCCTCTAACGTCATGATCAATATAGACTTCACTGCTCGCTTGTCCGACTACGGCTTCATCCAACTGGCTGAGAGGGTGGAAGTCGGCGACGCTTGGCAGCGTAAACCCCAGCCGAATTTCGAGCACGGTGAAGTATTCTGCCAGGAAAGTGACGTTTACAACTTTGGGATCATCATTTTGGACTTGCTGCAAGGGCCTAATAAGGATTATACGAATGATAGAGACGGGGGGCATGTGGATTTTGAATTCTGTGTGCAAGGAAAAGAGAGAGATCAAGCTTTGCAAGTTTTGGAGATCGGTTTGGCATGCACAAACAAGTCCACTGGAGCGAGGCCTACCATACAGGAGATAATACTGTGTCTAGGAGATGAAGTTTTTATGTAAGAAACATGATGCAATGTCAAAGTTTAATAATGCCGCATGTGATTTTGTCAGCAGTATATGTTTCGGTTTTTTCAGCACCATGATGGTGACTTGGCGTAAAACTTTTACAGCTTGGGATCGGAATTTGTCATCTCAATGCAATCGGGATACAAGTATTTGATCTTGACGCATGCCGTATGCCGGATGCCAAACTTTGGTTGAAACTGGACCGTTTTTCAAGATTATTTAAGTTTAGTTGATTACTATTTGTGTATCAAAGCTAATCAAATAAAATTCTAAAAATTCTAAAAATAGCTCAAAGTAGAAGTAGAATTCACCAAAAGTAGTGCTGATCCAACTTGGTATAAAATGCAAACAACCCACGCGACATGAATCGGTCGGTCGTCAATTCGTTTCTTTTGTACATTTATACTAGTAGCCGCAGCAGTACCGTGTTTCTTTTGTACCCTTGTAGTCGTAGTACTGTGTTTTCGAGGTCCAACCGATGGAACGGTAGAATACATTAAGTGGTCTAAATCGAATTAACTAAGTCTAATTGTCTGCACAATTGGTCCAAGTCCAACCATGCATATCATCATCATATTCATCGGGGGGAGCTGTTAGTGTCCTTGTCTCGTCTCATGTCTAATTCCATCTGGGAGTATTAAGAAGTCTGTGTGTCCTGTCCGGGTCCAGCAAATGAGAATGACAAATCGCCAAGAAACGCCATGATGGCTTCCACCACCCAAATTATATATTACTACATGCTTGACTGTGCCAGAACCCCAGCGTGATACGTAATCTCCCCGCTTAATGCCTGATCACCTTTCTTTGCTTTTCTAAGTGGTACGTGTTTGCGGCTCGATCGGCAGAAGGGAATTTTTTATTTTTATTTTTTTTTTTTTTGCTGCTTCAAATTGGGATTTGACAGACACATGTCATGAATACTTCAACTCCATACACACATTTTGTACATGGAAACGGACGTGGACATGCTCTTTAGATGGTATGGTACTACTGTGTCTTTTTCAGTACTGATGATCACTTTTACTTTTGATAAAAACCAAACAAAGGGGTTGTGTTTGCCTGTTTGGGCAGCTGATCATAGCTGTGGCTGAGGGACTACCATCAACAGCGTCTTTTGCATGCTCTAATGCGGAAAATTAAAAAACAAAAAACAAAAAATGGAAAGGGTGCAACCTGCAACAGCAGACCTTTACTTATTTAAAAAAAAAAAAAAAGGGAAGAAGAAGAAAAGCTAGTACTACTGTAATAGCTAGCTTGAAAACATGTCTGTTTCCAGCCTTTCTAGTTTTGGCGGCACTCGTAGCGAGCCGATGTTCAGAGAAAATACAACCACCAACTGATATTCTTGGTCGGCCCCTATTTTTCTTGACCGTTCAGGGCTCTGCGACTCTGCATAACTCCAAAAGTTTTGACGTTAGTAGTTACGTAGCAGCATCGATCCGTTTGGATTAGCTATTTTTGGGGTTATTTTTCAAAAATAACACTGTAGCATTTCATTTTTTTAATACAAGTCCGTTTGGATTAGTTATTTTTTTAGTTGTTTTTCAAAAACTATATGAAAAACTTTTACTGTAGATATTTTTTGGATTATTTTTAGAGGTATTTTTAAAACATATTTTTGAGTATTTTTATAATTTATAATTTTTATATTTATATATTTATATACATTTATGCATTTATAATACATTTATAAATATTTATAAATAAATATATTTATTGCTAAATGGTGCATCTATTTACAAACATTCTTCGCTCTCATTGAAAGTGTCATATTTTTTATTTTGAAATATTTATCGTGTTGAGAAAGTTATAATATTTTTTATTTTTTTCATTTTAATATAAACATATTTACTTTAATCATATGTATGTTATTATTTAAATTTATAAAAATAAATTTATAAATATCACCATCAAATCACTAACTATTATTAAAAAATTAAAATCTCAAAACATAACACTGACAAAATAATAATTGAAACGGAGAGAATACTTCACAATTCACCCGTCCTCCTCCTGCATCTGCATTCTACTCTTTGAGTATCTCTTAGTCTCTTTTTTTTTTCGAAACGGAATAAACTTACACACACACATACACAATTAGATTAGAAACATTCGGAAGTTACGCCCGTTGAGTATCTCTTAGTCTCATCCCTGCTAAGAACAGAGTCCTAGCAGTCTAGTGCTACAGTAAAAATATATCAAATAATTTATAATCCAAACAAACCCACGCGTTAAGCCCACTACATGGTCACACATTTTTTTTTAAAATCTTTTTTGGGTGCTATTTTAGAAAAAGAGGATTTTTCTTTTTCAACCGCACTTAATTTGGAAAATATTGGTTGCACGGCTTATTACTGTAACTAGTGCGAGTATAATCGTCTTGTGGTTGCACCTTTTTTTTTTATTTTTTCACTCCGACTGTAGTGCTACCGCCACATGACATTGAAGACTACAAATCCAAATTAGATTAGTCCCGAAAACAAAAACAAAAAAGGTGAAGAAGCATGATTATTGTTTGCATGAAGGAGCCGGGGTTAGACATAGAGCAGTATTTTTTAATTGGGTCAATGAGATTGGATTAGAGATTGAAGGCACCTACTATTTCCTTCCCTCTTCAATGAATTACCCAAACGCAAGAGGCAGATAGGATAATAGACGTCAATCCGAGAGCCTCTCGCGGTGGGTCAATAATAAATGGCTGCTCGAAACACCAGCGACATTTGCTCGCGCATTTACGTGTCAGACTTTTATTCTGAACGAGCCACTTTCGAAACCAGCACTGAGTACTACTACTACCTCTCGCACCCTTGCTTGCTAACAAAGCGGAGCAACACATGCCATGCCGCACACACGGTCAAATTTAAAATAGTCCGCCTCCTCCTCCTAAACAAAATCAACACATAAATCTAACAGTACCAAGAATCATAGTAATTAATTAAGGAATATATATATATATATATATAAATATTAAGGAAGTCAATGGAATATATTCTTTTTCCTTTTCTTTTTTATTGGTTCTTACCATATCTAAAATTTCTTCCAAGATCCCTCTCTTCTTCTTTCTATCTCTTCTGTCTATCAGTCGACAAATTAAGACTGAAAAAAAAAACTGAAAAAAACTAGGTGGATGAGGAATGGGAGGACAAGTTGATGTGAAGGGCGGCGTTCTTGGTGGAAAGACAAACGGGGCATGAGTCGAGGGCAGGCCCGCAAGCATAACACAAGCACAGGTGCCTGCACGGCAGCAGCAACACGCTCGCCTCCTCCTTGCCGCAATTTCTGCACACCCTGCACCACCTCCTCCTCCTCCTCCTCCTGCCACTGCCGCTCTCCTCCTCCTCCTCGTTTATTGCACGCTTACCAATGTCATCGTTATTGCTACGATTACGCTCCACTTGCTCTGCCCCTTCTCCTCCTCCTTTTCCCATATCCAAATAGTAATTGCTTCCGCAGCATGACTGCGCTTCATCATCCATCAAACCCTCCGCTTTATAATGCAATTGAGCTTCGACTTGTTGGGCTTGAGCCAGCACCACCTGCTCCAGGATGTTTCTCAATGCATTTGCCGTGGCCTCATTGCTCTGCGCCAATTCTCTCCATATCTGGTTTTCTGCGCACAACGACCTAACTTTCTCCGCCAATGCCCAATTTAATTTCCCAATATTCTCGATTTCCTCCTCTTTCGCTCTCAGTCTCTTCATCAAGCTCTCCTCCACCGCCCTTATTACCCTCAATGAATAATCCTTTCTCTGTTCCTCAATTTCCTTTCTCACCTTCGCCGCCTGTTAAACAATCAAATAGCCCAACACCCAAGATTTCAAAATAAAAGGGTAAAAAATTTTAAATCAACTGGATATAAACAACCAAAAACACGCTAGTAGGCAGGATTCTCACGTGGTGGGAGATGAATTGATCGATTTCCAATTGGTGTTGCTGGGTGCGTAAGGAGATGTCTTCTCCCAAGAAAGTCGCAACGGAAGTGCAGCGTTCACTACTGTTAAGATTGGCAGGAAACGGGAGCAAGTTGCGGTGGCAGTTGGCGATTCTGGCGTAGGAGGGATCTCTGGGGCGCTTCCTTGACGCCAGGATAGGGATGGAGCAGGTAAGGCCACTGTCCGACTTCATTGCCGTTTTCACCGGAGTCCAATCTGCCGCAACAGTCTTACCGTTGATGGAAGCAGGAGGAATCAATGCATCAGCCGCGGTGGTGGTGGTCGTCGAACCAAAGGGCTCGCCATACATCATGTTGTTATTAATAGTATTAAAATTATTATTCACACCTTCAATCACATTCAACATTCCCCTGGCACAAGCAAAACCAATCCATAAGGCCACAAACGATTTTCTACCTTTAGCTTCCCAAAATCAAATCCATATGGTAGTGTACATTAAGAGAAAACGGAAAAAAAAAAAGTCAGTCTACCAGGAAAAGAAAAACGAAGAGTTGGGCACCTGTTGTCAAGAATCTGTGGTGTGAAAAGACAGAGACGCCGAGCTTCAACGGCCATTTGGAGACGAGTCGCCCTTGACCTTTTATCAGTAATTCAGGCGGATGGTTTTCCAACATACGTGATTACTATATATCCCTGATCTGTCTGTTCTTCTTCTTCTACGCGTATAGTTGGATTTGTTGAGTCATGAAACTTGTTGGGTGGGGGATTTGCGAGGGTAGAGAGAAAAGCGAGAGAACGAAAGGCAAAAGAGAAGCATGCAATGCAAAAGGCGGTTTAAGGTTAGAGGTTCGATATACATATATACATATATATATTATTTTATTTGAGGGTTTGGCTTCTGGTCAAATACAAATACACGTACGAGAGGTCGAGGAATCCGTACATTAGCACCGATATATAGTAAGTACTTGAATGAAAATATTTTCGAAGAGGACTTTTCGTATAAACTACTAGTAGCTCTCAAGCTCTGTTTTTTATAAAGAAGACGAAGAAAGAGAGGAGGGACGAGGGAATTGGAAAATCTTTTTCTTTTTCTTCTTTAAATATGGCAAGCAGCAGTAAAAGGGCAATGTCTATATATCTTTTCCTTTTTTCCTTGTTTGTTCGCTTTTTTTTTTTAATGTTTGTATTTGTCTTTATTTTCTTTCCTATTCAGCGGTTGCTCTAAAACCCCTCCTCTCGAGAGTGTTTTAAAATATTATATGAAATAATTAATATAACATATTTTTATAATGTGATACATGTAAAATAAAATATATATATATTAAAAAACATGTTTATAATACAAGTAAATAATTTGTATACAAATAATGATTATTTAAGCACTTCCCTTTTCTTGACTCAGTCTAATTTATGTTAACAACAACAACAACACGAGAGTTTTGTGTCAATCCCGTATTACTTTATGTGCGATTCTTTAGGGATTTGTTTTTGCTTGCTTTTGGAAGACTTGGGCAAGCATTTGTCGGAGCACACAATCTTCCATCAATTATCAATCTTCATCATTTATTAGATCAGTAATTGCGTATTACCTTATTTTCTTTTAGAAATTACCAAAATTTTATTTTTCAAGATACCTTTTTTTATAAAATAAAAGCAAATTTTATAAATAAACTAACTGAAAATTGGCCAGCACGATTTATTTGACAAAACAATTTACACTAATGACAGAAAATACTTGAAGATGCATTGTTAAGGTAGAGCAATTAGAATTCATTTTCTTTTCAGGAGGGAGGGGTTGTATATGGAAGGTTGAAGAATAAGACTATAATTAAATTGAACGCTTAATTTATATTAAAACACTATTTATAATTTATAAATATTTGTAACTTTCAAAATTAATAATTTTGACATATTCCCGTGTAGGGGGGGACATGGTGAAGGACTGAAAAGCTCCTGTTTACTTGATATGGAAAGGCGGTCCTCCAAACGGAACTGTTTACTTTTAATTCAAGTCACCCATTTTAATGGAGTAGGAGTGCCTCCTCTCTGCTCTGCTGTGGCAGTGGGAGGGATGGGTCACGTGTGCAGTGGAGAAAAGGGTAGTGCGGGGCCAGAATGGCGAATGAATGAAATGGGAATTCTCTGTTGTTTTTGTCCACAAAGAGAGATGGGGGCCGGGGGTGCGTGGGGCTTGCTTCTACTAGTGGAATTCTGACGGGGGGGCAGGACAGCAGCCGAAGTTAGCAGCACTTAGCAGCGGAGAGGATGGAGGAGAATTTGTTCCGACGGCTGTTTCCGCTGTTTGGGTTTGGCAGGCTTCTTGCTGCCCATTCCAGGACAAAGTAGTAGTATTACGTAATGGCCGTATGCAGTCACACTATGCTCCTCCAGCTCACACTTTATATATACTTTATACATATATATACTGACACGTGGTTAATTGACTACTCCTCACCTAGTCTAGTGACTACTAGTAGCAGAGTATATCACCCGAAATCCTGCCTTTTACGACTATGATGATCTTTTGACCACCGATTCAGGAAGGAAGGAAATTTCTATGAAACACAACTCCAGTGTCAGTACAGCTTGGCCGATTGGCAAGTGAATTTTTCGGGTGTTTGTCTAAAATTTTACTGTAACTTACTATAGAAATTTTTTAAAAAGTTTTTGAAATATATATTTTTTTAATATTTTAAAATGTATAGTTTAAAAACTTTAAGAAGCTTTTTGAGGTTGCTGTAACTAAAATTTTTAAAAAATTTATAGCAGACAAACTTGGCATTGATTATCCTCGACAGTTTTATTTTTATCTTTTACATGGTTTTCTAGTGTAACTTGCCATTATTGACACCCCGATAATACTCTATTCATCTTCTCCTTCTTTCTTGTTTCTTCTTTCATCGATGTTTTTTTAAGCAGTAGCTAAGTATAGTACGTACTTAAAGAAGAGGGGACCAAAAGTTCCGGTCTATTCTATATAACATGAATATGAATATCCAATCCAGAACGCTTCTCTCTGATGACACATACCGGTGCAGGAAAAGTTAACCTGCAAGTGGACTACATTGTACTGGTAGTGTCTCAGTTTGATTTTGTAGCCATATACGTCCGTGTCAGTTGGTTTTTTTTTTTTTTTTTTTTTTTGTCAAAACGGTGTCAGTTGGTAATTGAGTACTAGTAGTAGTATTTATTTTCTATTGCCAGCATTTGTCAGATCCGTTCTAGCCTCCCACCCCGCAAGGACGCTGTCCTACACCAATAGTAATTAATATTAACCCGATGTACCAAGACGTTACTTGTCTCGTTCTTGATTAAATACAATCCTACCACGCAGCCGTATCATTATTTATTATAATAATATATATATAATAAACTGCTACTGGTAGTAAAGAAACAATTCTGAGATAGAATAGTAATAATATATTTATGCTTGCCAGGTGTACCTTCCTTCCTTTCTGAGGTAGAAAATAAATCCAGCTATATGCACCTTTAATGTCCACAGATATAATATATAGTACGAGGGCATCAACCGTGCGCCGCTCAGACAAAGTAGCTGCAGTTAAGGAGACAAGCAGAACAGACTTTTTTTTTTTTTTTTTTCCTTAATTATAGTTTGGAGCCAATAAATTAACCCTCCTATCCTCCTGGCCACTAGCCAGTAATCAGTAATTACAGTAAAATGGTTGTTGTCGTTTCTTACTTTTTCCCTTAGTGTACTTGTTTCGGCCCATGTGGCAACAATAATATATTATTTTAATTGGGATCAAGAATGATTAACACGCATCATCAGACCAGGCCTTTTAATTTTGCACACCGACCAACACAAATAAAATTATACGGCCTCGAATCGATCTTCTTCTGATCTTGCTTCCGATTCACCTTCGCTGTAAAACAATAATGAATACTAGTTGATCTTTTGCCCCCTTACTTCTTCCTACTCCACACGCTTGTGGCTTCTCGCCCATAATTAATCAAGGTTGCTTTTTATTCTTGCACTCAAAAGTGTACGAGTGCACCACCAGTTTGATTATTGTCAATTAGCTCATTTGATGATTTGATGTTAAAAGAATTTTTGTGGGATCAATCTGTACTCTTAACGCAGTATTACTCTTAGTGCGTGACAGCTGACTAAAATAATAATAATCATGATAATGATGATCATCATCAGTTCAACCAAAAAAAATTTATTATTAGGGATAATTTCACAAACCTCCCCTAAGGTTTCTGACACTTGCACTGAGACCCCTCTAGGTTTTAAAAATTTCACCTAGCTCCCTTGCTTTTCAAATTTGGTAACAATTCAGTCCAATTAGGATTGAAATATTACTATCATGATAGAGATGACATTTATATTCCATGAATACCCTCTTCCTCTCTATATTAGTACAAGATTACTTGTTAATAAAAAGGTAGAGATGATTATGGGTATTTTATTCTAAATCATTTAATTTATGTTAAATACAAAAATATTTGCAAATAAAATTCAAAAGCCGTTACACAAATATTTTTACGAAAGGAAAACTAGTATGTATTGTATTTAATATAAATGAAGTATTTGAAAGTAGAAAAAAAAATTGTCCATAACATACTAGTTCTTTACGAGTTTCTTCCATTATATGAATAAAGTACTAGTTATTTATGAGTATTTTATTTTGAATCATTTAATTTATATTAAATACATAAATGTTTATAAGTGAAATTCAAAAAGTGTTATACTAATATTATTACGAAAGGAAAACTAGTAGGTTTTTATTAACAAACAATCTTGTACTAATATAGGGAGGAAGAGGGTATTCATAGAATATAAATGTCATCTCTATCATGATAGTAATATTTTAATCCTAATTGGACTAAATTGTTACCAAATTTGAAAAGCAGGGGAGCTAGGTGAAATTTTTAAAACCTAAAGGGGTCTCAGTGCAAGTGTCAGAAGCCTCAAGGGAGGTTTGTGAAATTATCCCTTATTATTATTACCATCTCTTATCAAATTATATACTAAGTACCTACTTGGTAGCTAGATGAGCTACCACCTAGCAATACGTACGGTAGATATTACGCACCCTGTGTTTCTTCCATGCATTTTTGGTTTTCATAAAGTTTGGACGCCATACATTTATGCCGCATCCAATACATCAAACAATTCAAGAATCGATGAATTTGATGCGCTTAGGCAGAGAAATCTTCATCATCACTCCAGTTTTGTGATCCTTTTAACTAAAGTGGGTCAAAGAAAAAAAAAAATACATACCAGAAGCAGAAGAAGAAGAAGAGCGAAGAGTGACAGAAATGTAATGGTACTGTGCTGATCGACCAGACGCAAAGTGAAAGGTCGAAAGAAGTATGGTATCGGTGGATTCCTCCACCCAAACGAAACGAGGAATCAGCTTTCTTCCAACCTCCATTATTATTGCCCCATTCAGCCAAATCACAAAATATCTTTCCTTTCTCTTTAAGCACCACACCGTACCAGGGAATTCCCAATATAAAAGAGCACAATAGTAAAAGGGAGTTCCCAGCATATATGCATGTACAAAAAAAGATGAGTCAGTAAATAAGGGGTTTGTGGGTCACAATTCATAAAAAGTACAATGCTCATTGAATTATTTAAACTGTGCGAAACCAGAAGGATTCCCATCCGTGATTCGAGCCGTCTCTGTTTGGATGGGAGTGTTTTTTAAAAATTAATTTTTAAATATAATTAAATTTTTAAAAAGTATTTAAAAAAGTAATCTAAAAATTAATTTAAATTTTTTAAAAATATCTCAAAATACATTCTAAAAACTATTCTACTCTTAAATATTCTAAAATATTTTTAAAAAAATATCTCAAAATATACTCTAAAAACTTTGCTACTTACTAATATTTTTACATTCGTGCTTTAAAAACTCTAAAAATATACATGGGCAGCATGTAGATTGAAATGCAAGTGCGTTCGTGCTTTCCCCACTTTCGACTTTCGAGGCCAATTGAAGCACCGATTGACTTCTTGATAGTACTATAACTTTTTATCTTTACACCTTCTTTTGTTTTTGCCTTCTCTATATCCAACCTTTTAAGTTGAGTTGCTCATTCTATTTTTGTATGACTTGTGAACCGCACGCACGTTTTCACTTTTCTTCTTCCCTTTTATTTGTTGGGAATTTATTTATTTTTTTTTTTTGTGTAAGAGCAAGGGTTAATTTCACGTTGCAACTCTTCAACTATATTTGAAGTACTCTCTTTAACTTTAAATCTCAACACTTTAGTCTCTGTTTGGAAGGGAGTATTTTTTAAAAATTAATTTTCAAATATAATAAAAATTTTTAAAAAGTATTCTAAAAGGTAATCTAAAAATTAATTTTAATTTTTTAAAAATTTTAAAAAATATCTCAAAATATATTTTATAAACTATTCTACTCTTAAATATTTCAAAATATTTTCTAAAAAATATTTTAAAATATATTCTAAAAACTCTGTTACAGAAAATTTTTTCAAAAATACCCTAAAAATAGCTAATCCAAACGGAGTTTTAGTTTTTAAAGTATAAAATCTGACAAAGGAGATTGGCAACAAATTGTGGGCTCTGCGATACCTGTGTTTTAAGGCCTACTTTTTTTATTTTTACTGTTACTTTCATTTCGTCGGAGATGAGATTTCTCACACAAAGCCATTCCTGGGCCAAAATTGCTTGCTGGTTTTACTAATGACAACCGCTTTGGGCCCTCTGGACTCTGGTGTGACGCCGCCCATATCGACCAGAGAGAGGTATCCAATGTGTTTAGGACGGACTAGAGATTGTCATCACAAATCTTCAATGGGCCTCGGTGGCTGAAAGGCCGGATTCGGTTGAGCTGTGCTGCGGAAAATGACGGAGTAACTGATGGCTGGCCTAACAGTAACCAACCCTTGTTAAAGATTTCTCAACGGCTGGCATAGTATTTGTAGAGTATTTGTATTGTCGTGGAAGAGGTGGGTGAGCTGGAGGATAAGCTATCAAACCCAAAACCCCACTCCCACTTCCGTATAGTTCATAAAAACAAACTCCCTCAGCTCTTTCAAGCTTCATTGCCTTCTTCAATTCAACCTCCCTATCCATCCATCCGTCCGTCCCATCCCATCCAATCCGATGGAGACCGTATCCACCTGCACTCTAAATCAACATCCTTTTCTCACTAGTAACCCAAGACCCTTCGCCTCCAATTTCGCCTATGCCTCTTCCGTCTCAGCTCTTGGATTTACTTTGCCTTCTTCCCATAAAACTTCTGCCCCTCCAAATCAACGCAGGAAAACTCTGGTGACTAGCTCTTCCATTGCTGTTGAACACCACACTCAGACTAAGACTGCTGTCATAAGAATTGGAACAAGAGGGAGGTACTGTTGCTTCTCTTTTTCTTCATTTGTTGCTTAAAGATTGCTCTTTTGTGGAACAAGCTTTTTTTTTTTTTTTTATATTATTGTTTAAAAAAAAAAACATCCAGCAGCAACTGGATTATTGAATCTTCTTCTGTGTCATGCTCATTGCAGCTTCCTTATTGATTATTGTTATTCAAGAAAACATGGGTTCGGTTGATTGGTTCTGTTGTGTTGGATCTTGTTGCCGGTTTTGGATAACATTTCTAGGATATTTCAAATGAACTATGGTTAATGGAAAATAATCTTCCGTGACACAAATAGAAGCATAGGCTAGTCGAACTTATTTGGTTAATGTATCTGGCGAGCATATTTTGTTGGATGGAACTAGTTTTGCTTAACACATTAGTCAAAGACTTTAAGTTGAAGTCACCGATCTGCTCATCAAACTTTTGGGGATTGCATATGGAAGGATCAATGTGGTAGGATTTTGTTTTTGGCAGTTGTTCCCTGTTTACGTTGGTACTATTTATCAGGGTCCATGGTACATAGTAAACATGAGTTAGAATTTTAGTTTTCTCTTCTTCCTTTATAAGAGCTCAGAAGATGTCAACCTTTTGGATCCGAGCTTTTGGAGTGTTGTAGAAACCCATGTTTCTTTTGGCTTAGGATAAATAAAATCTACTGACAGCCTCTTTTGCCTTTAGGATTTTGGAGTTCCTTGAAGAGTGTCGCGTCTGCTTTGACACGCTTAATTATCCTTGGTTCCTTTCTTGCTTCTTTCAAGAGGAAGACAAAGACACCTTTAACTTGCAAGTGGTCACTTGAAAAGAACACAAGATTTGAGGCAGATCCTTCATCCAGTTCCTTGGAACATAGAGACCATGCCCTTAACTTATGACACTGATGCATATCCTGATCCAGAATTTACTACTCAAATAAGAGAATATGAATAAAAATTTCCACTTTTTCCTTTCTAACATGGTTGACATATAAGAAAGACAACCATCATATTTATCATTTTATCCTTTTCTTGTACTATCAGATCCTCGGGAAATATGAAAAATAATGAGCAAAAGTGCCCCCTCGTGTCTCATAACCAAAACATGACTGGAAAATGAGTAGCTGCTTCATGTATTCTTGAGCTAACTAATTGTTGCCACTAATTGACCAATTTATGTCCATAGCATCGATGCAAGAAAGTACAAAGTGATGTTTTGACTCCTAGAACACTATACTGCTTCTGTGTTATATATGCACCCTCCTGTTTTTATTTCTGCACTTCTGATTGCCATTGGGTAATTCCACCTGCATATAGAATGGCACCCGCTAGTCATTATGTAGCCTCTCTTATGGTTCACATATACAACTCTTCATTGTGTAGGACAGTCCACTAGCTCTTGCACAAGCTCATGAGACACGGGACAAATTGATAGCATCTCATCCAGAACTGGCTGAAGAGGGGTCAATTCAAATTGTGATAATAAAAACAACAGGTGATAAAATCTTAAGCCAGCCACTAGCAGACATAGGTGGGAAGGGCTTGTTCACCAAAGAAATAGATGAGGCTCTCATTAATGCAGACATTGATATTGCTGTTCACTCAATGAAAGATGTTCCTACATATTTGCCTGATAAGACAATTTTGCCTTGCAATCTTCCCCGCGAGGATGTACGTGATGCATTTATTTCTTTAACTGCAACTTCACTGGCAGATCTTCCAGCTGGAGCAGTCGTGGGTACTGCTTCGCTGAGGAGGAAATCGCAAATTCTTCATCGTTATCCATCTCTTAAGGTGAGCACGATATGGATGATTGTCATGATGAGGGTCTCTAATAGTATTACTATTTTCGCCAAGAGATGAGGAAATTGTTATCAAGTTGACACTTAATATTACCAGCATTTTTTCCGAGAAGCATAACTAGTTAATTCTTCTTATATTATGCATGCTATATTTGGCAATAAATTTGAAGCTCACATAAGTAAAGGCAAGAGTGACATTTATATCTTTGAAGCTGTTTTCTTTGAATGGAATTGAAAGTGCATTTAAACAGGAGGATTTTTCCTTTTTAATCTAATTTTAAGATGTAAAAGAGTGTTTAGGGAAAATTCTAATTTCCTCAGCCCCCCCACCCCCCCAACAAAAAAAAAAGTTTGTATTCTGACTTCCATTTTTGGCAGAAAATTTCTATTATAGTTGTCACAAACAAACATCAAATCTCATCCTTCTTTGATGCTTTTTTCTGGACTAACTTAAGATAAGTTAATTTACTAGAGCATTTTGTATCCTAAAATCCAAATCAATTTCTGTTTGTTTGCACTTTAGGATATAAGTGCATATATTCTAGGAAGTGATCAATTTTCATCAACAGGTCCTTGTGCAGTTGAGTAATTCGTAGGCACCAGCTACTTCCACCACTAGTTGACACTCTTTTGATCTTTTAAGCCAGAGAAGTTCACTATCTAGGATGTTCAGTTGAATTTATTTCAATGCTTTTGCATCCAGTCTTAGTGAAGTTAGGGTTGGGCACAAGGTTACCATTATCTTTCTTTTGCTTGTTTTTATTGCTCCTGATTGAGCTTTTGTCCATAGGTGCTTGAAAACTTTCGAGGGAATGTTCAGACTAGGTTAAGAAAGCTGAATGATGGAGTCGTCCAAGCAACATTATTGGCATTAGCTGGCCTCAAACGTCTAAATATGACAGAAAATGTCACTTCTATTCTTTCTATGGATGATATGCTTCCAGCTGTTGCTCAAGGGGCCATTGGAATTGCATGTAGAAGCGATGATGAGAAGATGGTATGTGCTGTTCTACTGGATATTTCTAGTTTTCTCCTCTCCTCTGTCAATTTGCTTGTTTTTTCTCATTCAATTTAACCTTGCTAAGATGGAGTTTGGATGCATATCCTATCATCGGTTTGAAAATGTTACACGATTGGACGTGCATCTGATTACGTTGATGCGTGTTACTGTTGCATTGTGCTTTGCTTCGGGAAATCTCCCTGATAAACCAGAAGAGTTTCCTGTCTCTTGAATAGATGTACATATCTTCTGCTGATATAATGGGATTCATCACTTAGTTAGATGTCGGGAAAGGCATAGGCTGGGTTCGTGCAAGTAAAACTGTTTGCAGAGAGTACGTGTAAAATGCATTAATTGTGTGAGCTGAATGATTCTATGCTTTTTTTTTTTTAACTTTGATTTTCAAGAGCTTATAGTGTTTTACCTTTGGCAATAATTAAGAGTAAACTATCGTAGTCTGTGATGGATCTTTGCTGCTATATTGCTGCATTTTATTTTAATGATTTTCGCTCAAAATCTGAAGAAAGTATATAGTTGATACGGTTCATGGGAGGCTCTCTATCTTGGTTTCTAGCGTATCTTGAATCTCTCACGTAGTTCTTTTGGAAGATTCTATGTCCACTGTTGCGTGTTTATCTCAGTCAACCATGTTTAATGCAGGCCGGTTTTATTGCCTCACTGAACCACGACGAAACCAGGTTGGCTGTTGCATGTGAGAGAGCATTTCTAGAAACGCTTGATGGGTCTTGTCGCACGCCAATAGCTGGATATGCTTCACGGGACGAGGATGGTAATTGTCTCTTTAGAGGATTGGTGGCTTCCCCAGATGGTACCCGAGGTAAAGACCAAAATTTTGACATATCTTTGTTTGCCAAACGAGATGTTAAGCTTTTAGCACAGCTCTGTGCTCATCTTTGTATTATTCCTGCTGTCCTTTCCAGTTCTTGAAACCTCCAGAAAAGGTTCATACACTTTTGAAGAAATGGTTGCCATGGGCAAGGATGCGGGCAAGGAACTTCTCTCAAAGGCTGGGCCAGGATTTTTCGACAGTTAGACGACTAAATGAGTGAGTACGATGAATTAGAGTATGCTTCCATTTAGACATGTATAGAGAAAGAGAGAGATCCAAGCGGTGTTGCTGGGTTACCAAGGTAGGGATTCATTCTTCTTCTTCTTCTTGTAATGGTAGCATTTTGATATTCTGCTGTAACCATTAGAGGGGGACGGACTTATTTGGCATTCCAGTTATTAAGTCCACTGTTATAACTTGTAACTAACTGTAGGGGAATAATTTTTGGTACTTGTATAGCATTTTTTTCTATAAAATCCTGTCGAGATTTTCCCATGTTCCAGTTTGGCGTTTGAGATCTGCAACATGCAACCTGGCGTTTGGCCTCGACGGATGGTAGTGGATCTGATGTTGCTGACGGCCCACTTTGTATGTCAAGTCTGTTTGCGTCTGCTTGGTTGGATCCATCTATTGGACTGCTGGAAAAGTAGGTTTGCTATCACTTTGGCCCATTCATATACTTCTCCGTCCTTCGATTTCTAACATTTTTCTCCTCAGAAGTGTTTTTTTTTTCCTCATTGTCTAAACTCTCTTTCTGTCTTCGTCCGTTGTCTTCCAAAAACTTACATATGCACCGCATCCAAACACCAGCAATATGTGAATGTGATGACAAACATCTCGGAGTTTTCCTTGCTACGCTGTATAGCATATACCAATACTGAAAAAATTATTAGTAGTAAAAGAATTAATGCACAAATTGACTTGTATGAAATATTTGGAAGATATATGACACGGCCAAATTGTTACACACCGTGAGAAAATTCCTAAAGAACGAAAGAGGATTTTATTGATAAATTAATGTCTAACACAAGGCCTATTTGCTGGCTTGAATACAAGAGAGCTGAAGGGGCATATTTATAAGCTTGAATGAATACAAGAGAGTTAAAAAGGAATGTCTTGTTGGTCAGGACAACCAATCAAGTCAATTAATTATTTTAATTATATCAATCATTTATTATGATAAAATCACAGTCAAATAAAATAAAATCCTACCAAATCTCATCATATCTTGGCATTATGGTTATATGTGATCAAATATTCAGATGGTATTATTGCCATAATATTCTTCTTTCCTTCCACCACTCGTGCGATCTATTTTGATCAAAACATCTTCTCAAATTTCTTCTACATCAACGTTGATGATACTAGTGTGCATGTATAGGGTAAAAAATTTGAATGGTTCTCAAACTATGTAGTTAGTCAACTTTTAAACCTTGCTGTTAAGTGCATATTTTTGCCTCTCGAACTTGTAAAAAGGTATACTCTCCGCCCTTTTGACTAGAGATACTTTTAAAAGCCTCCCCTGAAGTTCATGATAATATCACTTCAAATTTGTCTTTTGCTACTTTAACAACTTTTAGGCAAAAAATTATGGAATAGAAAATTTTTAAGCAAAAAATACAAATTTTATATTATAATCAATATGGTAGAAAATTCAATATAAGACAACAAAAAAATGTTGAATTGGGAGAAAACTATATCTCTCTCATTAAATGATTATTGTAAGAATATTTTAATGATGCAAGGTTGAGATCGTTACAAAAAAAAAAAAAGATTTTAGGAGATGTTAGTAATATTTTTGAAACTTTAGGAATGCCAAGTGATATTAGCAAAAATCTGAGGGGAGGTTTCTAAAATTATCTCTAGCCAAAAGGGTGAGAAATATGCCCTCTTTCTAGAGGTGGCAAAATGGGCGGGATGGGCGGGATTTGCTTGGGTTTGAGATGGAACCGAGTCATATGGGTTTGGGCCCAACCTTACCCATATGTGTTTTGGGACTAACTTGGGCGGGATCATTTTGGGATGGGTTTAGATTGATCCCGCCCAATACCCAAATCCATTTTCTACATATTTTTTTTCCTTTAATTCATTTTTTATTTTTATATAATTTTAATATTTTTGATTTATTAAATTTCTTTTAGTTTTATTAAATAAACATGCAAGTGCTTTATACTCAAGATTCCCACCAAAAATTGGATTAACAAATAAAGGAAAAGATAGATATACAGCCATATTCCAACATATATCAAGATGGCCAAGGTCCTTAGGATGTTGAATATTTATCCTTATCATTGTCCAAGGATGACAGGTCTAAACTAACTGAAATGCTGGAAATTCTTGTGGATAATGACTAGGAAGACTACTAGATTATATTCGCTGGTATAACTATAAAAATTGTTAAAGATAATTTTTGAATCTAAGATTCCGTTTGGATTGACTTTTTTTTCAAAAAATAAGTTTTTCAAATACAATGTTACAGTAATATACAATAACTCAAGAAACATCCCATCCATATTAATATATCAAATATTTCAAAAAAATTTTATAGTAAAAATTTTTCATATACACTGCTACAATAAAATATTTCAAAAACACCTACCAAAAACAGCTAATCCAAACGGAGCCCTTGCCATTTGAGCCCAATGGGTACCCAAGTATTTCCCATCCTTTCCCATTCATTAATGGGTATAGGTGGGATGTGTCCCAACTTAAACCCAATACCAAATTATAATACCCATCCCGCCCAAACTTCCTTTGGGCATGGGTAGCCCATTGGGACTTGGGACAAATTGTCAGCTCTACCTCTTTCCAAGTGTGAGGGACAAAAATTATACGCTTAGTAGCTGGAGGGTTAAAAATCTACCTACTTAATAATTTGAGGGCCATCCAGATTTTTTTGGCCCGTATATGTGTGTTTATACATGGGAGCCGGGCATATCTCCATTCTTCGCCCCCGACAAGAAGGCTTGTGAGTTGTATGAATCGTGATCATCCCTTGTCAATCCAGCAAGTGATCACCGCATAATCAATTTAGCCATCACGCATGAGTAACTATAATCAACCAGGTAAGCTTTGGTTAAGATCATGCAATATATATGCGTGTGTGTGTGTCCATAACCCAAAGATGCTTCTCAACCAAAAAAATCTGGTGATGCTCGTTTGCAAATGAAATGATGCAGTAGTTGCATATCCTCCACCACCACCACCATCCCCAACAGTAAAAGCAGCAACGGATCAGGGAATGGCCGGATACTCCTCAAACGTGATGGCACCTCCCCCGATTGGTTATCCGGCCACAAGAGACGGACAAGGCCATGATGGCCATGAGCTTCATACTGCTACTACATCCAGTAGAGGCGAAGGGTTTTGGAAAGGATGGTAAAAGTTCATTTTCTTCGACTACAGCGTTCCTTCCTTCTTTCCCTATATTGGTATACTACTACTATGCAGTACCAAAAGCAAATACTATATACTAGTAGTATTTTCGTTGTATGTATGGGGTAGTACCATACCAACCAAGTGCATATATTAAACTGATAAGTTATACCTATTATCTGCTGCTGCTGGGTCCTGGATTTCTGCTTCGGCAGCTAGAATTCCTGACAAGTGCTCCTATATCCCAGCTTCGATCCCCTCGAATTTGGAAATAAAATAAAATACAAATGCTCATTCTCCTCCCGAACCGAACGACCTACCTGCTCAGCTCCTTTATTGTTGATGATGTCAATTAAATTTGATGAGTGATTCCGTGAGTTTGCGTCTTAGCATTACAAAATCGACTCATCGCTTCATGGTGTGGTGTGCATATGGCTTGCACCAACAAATATCTTAATCTTTTGCTGGGTTGTCATTATTTTAGGATTTAATTTTACCTGAAATTTGACTTTTAGAATTCGTTGCGAAATAACTTTGCCAGTTAGGCTTCAGCTATTCCCGTCAGACAGACGGGAGAACGCGTACTTTAATCCAGAAGAAAGCAAGAAACACATTAGTAGTATTGCTTTTACTTTAGGATTAATCTTCTATATACTGACAGTGTATACACTTTCACCATTAGATGCATGATACATAAGTCGAATTTGAATTTAAAACTCAAATTTTATATATGTGTCGTATATCTAACCGTGATAGTGTATACACCGTCAGTGTATATAAGATTTACTCTTTACTTTAATCTTGTCACCGCTGGGAATTGTTTAAATTTGAGGCGTTCAATTCGGGCACAAACTAAAACCACTGGTCCAGGATGGTATGTTTCTTTTCCAAATTTTTACAGCACCGATTTAAACAATGAATTTATTTGTGGGCACCAAAAATGTTCATCACACACTTTTTTGGCATGAGGCAAACAAAGATGAAGCAGTGAAGCCTGCAGCCGCCATTCCTTCCTCTAAAGGAAAAGGAAGCAATGGTTGAATCAGTTTTTATTGTTTATTAAGGTTAGCAATGGTTATTTATTTATTTATTTCTTTTTAAAAAAGGAGGAGCCTCAAGTGTTTTTTTTTTCCCCTTCAAAGAGCGAACATTTCATCAATAGGCCTGACCAGAATCCAAACCCGTTTTTTGTTGTTGTGCAAATCAACTGTGTGGAAAATCCCTTTAGCCTCCTGCTGCCTGCTGCGATGATCCAATACCATCCTGGACCCCCAGAGCCCAGAAGAGGAAAGCCATCTGCAGAAAAATACTATCCAAGTATCTTCTTGGTTTCCCATCCCCACCCAAATCTCCCTCATCTGTCTCTCTGCCTCGCTTAACTCGAAATAGTTCAGGAGCTTAGCTTTATGTTACAATCATACAAGGAGCAGAGTAACTACCATGGAATTCAACTCCGCTCTTCTCCACCTTCCCAACTCTCTCCCCTCTTCCATTACCTTTTCAGCAACTCTATTATCTCCCCCCGTCCACCTCCCCCGCCGCCATTTATGCACCCCTGAAGCTTACATGCTTCTTCCGCTGGTGGGCCGTCCCGCAATGTTTAATTCCTGCCCGCCTCTCCATCATCCTCATCATTGTCGTGGTGCTTATGCCTCCCTCCTGCAACTGGGCTTCTCTGCCAACCCCCAATTCTCTATTTCCACACCCTCTTTTCTATCTTCCCCTATGGCTTTCGGCTCGGTAATTCACTATTCACTACTAGTATTTACTGATACTGTTTCTCACTGCTCTTATCTTCAGCTTGTGACTACTGTTCTTCTTCTTCTTCTTCTTTTTTCCCTTTTTATTTCATGACCAAGTGTATGAAAGCTAGTTTCAAGATTGTATATGTTGATATTAATGGCCCCAATTATCATCAAGTTTTGAGACGCAAAAGCGAGAAAGCAACCATTTTGGCTGTTGGAAGAACTTCAATTCAGAACTTCTCAGACTCGGTGCTTTTTCGCTTGTTGTTGACAATCATAATGATGTGTACTAGTAGTATTCTTGCAGGATGCAAGTAGTGTAGACACTGATGATATGTTCGATGACTTGTTCAAAAAACATGGAAAGGTAATCTATCGAAGTAGCGATCACAAGTCTGCTGCTGCAGAGATAGATGATGATGCTGAAAGCTTGTCCTGTAAGCTCCCTCCCCTCCCCCACACCCCACCCAAAAAGAAAAAAAAAAGAAGTTGTCTACAGCTTTAGGCTTCTAAATTGCTATGTCAAACGGTTGCATCAGCCATGGTTTGTCTTCAGTGCCAATGACATTACGCTCAAACCACTTCTACTCTGCTCTGCATGCCCAAGTTTTTTTTTTTTTTTTTTGGTTTAATTTACCTGTATCTACCCTCCTTCTTGTAGCGTCCTCTTTTTCCTCTTAGTTTTTGGATGTTCTCCCTGTCTCTAATTGGCCATGTAACAAAGCATTTGATAGAATTTCTACCCTTTTTGTAGTTGCTGTTGCTGCAGCAAAAGTAGCAAGCGAGGTCAAGGCTGGTGACATAAAGGTCCTCTTTGTCAAACCTCTAGTCTACTGGACTCGGTTTTTTATTATTGCCACGGCATTTTCTCGGCCTCAGATTGATGCTATTGGGTATTTCTTGTTAATTTACCCGGAGCTTTTACAAATGAACCATGCATGACCAAGTGATTTTCATTACTGCTTACAGAATAAACAGAGAGTTAGTTTGAGTAATTTGAAATAGTGATTCTGTTTGTGGTATACAGGACTAAAATAAGAGACATGGCTGAGAATAAGTATGGAAGATTTGCTGCTGGGGACTCGAAATCTTTTGGAAGAGGTCCTGCCGGGGAATCAAAACCTAATTCATGGACGTTGTTGGACTTCGGTGAGTGTTTGTTGTTGATTGCGATATGATGGACAACAATCCCATCGCACTTCTTTGTCGAAAATCACCCTTGTGCGGTTCGCGTCATCATGGTTTATTTTGACACTGCATTATGTTTTCAATGAAGAATTACTAACAATGATGTTCAGGCATTTATTTATGCTAGACTATATCAAAGTTAGCTTCGCATGATATAAATCTTGATTCACAGCTAAGATATGTCACCATAAGCCAACACAGAGCTGTGCAGTAGACAGATTTGAGGTTGTTCCTTCACCACTTAGGCTTGTGCTTTTCCCTTGGAAGAATTTTTCTAGTTTTCGTGGTGGTTTTTTCTTCCGCAAGCTAAATCATTTCAAAGAATCAGCTTCTGTACAATCTTGTTAAGTTTCAATAGTAGCCGCCATCAGCTTTTTGTGCCAATTCCCTTGTCTTCTAGAAGGTCTAGGCTGATTGACAGAACCACTTGCCGTTTCCTAGTCGTCTTCCTGAACAAGAAATGCTTTGGTTGTCAGTACCTGTGCCTGCTCTGTGAGTAAGATGAATAAACAATGTCCAGAGGAGGCAATGCATCCTCCAACTAGAGAAAAAAAATGTTGAACTAAGAACATGCTAGGGAGTAGGGATCCTATTTTTAATTCCTGATTGTGGAGACCTGCTAGCGTTTTATCATTATTTGTACTGAAGTTCAAATGAAGAACCTGGCATGTTATCCTGACATTCTGCAACCCATAATATTCATACAATTCTTCTTCTCTGTGCTTTGGCCTATGAACATGATCAGATCTTGAGAGAGGTGAGTGTGTTCGTGTGTGTTTTTGTTTTTGGGAGAGAGGGGAGGGGGGGAGGGTTGTGGTGGTTGTTGAGGTGCTTGCTGCAGTCTGTCAGACATTCATTCCAAGTGCTGACCGGAAGTACTAATGTTGTTGAAGTTTCTTAAAGTATCACTTGTGTGTGTCTTTTTCCCAGGAGATGTTGTGGTGCATATATTTCTTCCTCAGCAACGAGCCTTCTACAATTTGGAAGAGTTCTATGGTAATGCAACGGTTATTGAGCTACCTTTCCAAAGCTAACAACGATGTTACAGTGAAGAGGCAACCGATGATGTTCCCAGGTTACGAAATGAATCAGAGATTCTAAAAATATCTGGCAAATCAAGAGGTAGCATGTCATCTTTGCATTGGCTATTTTGGCTTCACCACATTCTTGCGGAGCCTTTGGGAAATTCAAGCCTTTCTGCTACTTCTGTTACTAGTATTCCTTCATGTAGATGAGATCCTTAGTTCAAGTTGATTCAAAATCGGTACTCAGATAATTCAATCCAAGAGAGAAACTAATTTTTAGATGTAATCAGTTTACCCTTTATATACAATTTCTGAAAGAAATGGGGAAAAATCACGTCTTAAATTGTCTTTCTATTACAGAACTGTTCATCAAGATTGAAAGTAAACGAAAGCATTATCACCCAGTCTTCGTCTGAAATCAGATTCAATTAACTTCAAAAAAAAAAAAAAAAAAAGATTTCAGACATAACTCATAAGCGATGAAGTCCTGAAAGATCATTTTTAAATGTAGTTTCTGCATAAAGAAGGGATACCGAACCGCAAAGGAGAATTTAACTGCACTTTAAAAAAATGCCTGAAAGGGGGATCAACGTCATGAAACGTGAAGCTGGAAATTTCTCACTATTCCATATTCGCACGTTAAAACTATATCTAATTGAGAAAAGTATCACCCTATTACAGTACAAAATGCTAGTAGTAGAATTTGAACATGAGCACCGCAAAAGAAATGATTTGAATCTAATGCATTTCTTTTTTCCCCTTGTCTCATATAATGGAGGGCACTTCTAACCCAACATTCTTAGGGTAATTGATGTGCATGTGACATCATAGATTTCATCGCAGAGGATAACAGCCTTGTCCTTCCCAGATACTTTTTCTTCTTTGGAGCAGATGCTTGCGACCTTCAAAGCAGATCTAAACTATCAAAAGAAGTAACTAACGGTACAAAAAGGGCAAACCCCAAAAAAAAAAAAATGCTTTTCTTAAACAAAATTGATGTATTTACAGAGATTCAAATTCCTATTCAATGATCAGCACATGCTGCCCCTATAGCGGACCAAGGCCCTCAAAGCAGACCCGTATTGGCCCAAAGAGTGCACACAAAACAGTCCCCTCGTTCTTAAAAGGAACATGCTTTCCTGCAAGAACAACACATGACTCACTGTTTAGCTAGAGCTGTTTATATCAAGGCCAGTCTCACGAAAGTTGTTTCAGAGAAAAAAAAAAAAGAGAAAAAGTGAAGTACATAGGACTTCTTCATGGAGGAGAGTTAGTGAAAGAGCTCCTCCCCCCACCCCACAAAAAAAAAAACCCCTCCTCCTTTCTCCCTGTCCATCCCTTATGCTACA